TTGTTGTTTTGAGTGGTAAAGTTTTGGACTGGCTTGTTACACAGCAATAGATAACTGAAATATTATCATTAAGAAAAAAAAGAAGATTCAGTCACAGTAAGATAGTGGACCTCATTTTGACCACTTTCCTGATCCACCCCTTTCCCAATCCTGACAAGTTCATGGTGTCTCTTTATTGAATAGCCAGTGGTTGAGCCAAATGACTCTGTGGTAATGGAAAACTAAATGTTACCCAAATCAATCCAAGACTTTCAAAACATAATTTGAAATATGTTCTTCTGTATGCTTAAATACTAAGTATGACGTTGTGAAATTGAAAGCATTGTGTATTCTGAATGGTCTCTTGAGTATAAAATTTATTTATCAAACACAAAAAAAAGTTTTTGCTTGGGAATAGGCTTACCTAAAGAACCATCCAAGAGCCCTTAGAAAGGAGTTTCTTGACTAAAATATTGGATTTAATGTTCCTGGATACTTATTCACAACATATCTTAATCTTGCTATTATTTGCAACATTTTAAAAGTGGTATTTTTCTGATTGCTTTAACCATTGGAAAGGTGGTATTTAAATGCTGGTGAGATAAGGACCTTATCTAGTCACAAAGATAATTTCAAGCTAAAGATCTAGTGATACTATTTTATTGTCTGAAATGCTTGAATTATCTGCAGACTTGATCTGCTTTGGGTAAATCATCCCCAAATGCTTAGCAGGTCGGAGAGAAGGCAGGTACTCAGAGAACATGTTTTGGACATTCATTAAAATGTCTTCCCTCAGCTGCAATTTTCCCATAATTAAACAGCGAGTCCATTCTTTGCTATTATATAAGTTTATTTTATAAGCTATGCCTATATAGAGCAGGTTATGTGGCTAAACTGATTATATAGCCATCCATAGAGGTTAAGCAATGACATAGCTATCTATTTTCTTCAATTTCCTGAGGACATTTTGAAGGTGAGCATATGGCAATGCTGGCATTTCTGACTTATCCTGGGGTGGAAGAGTTGTTAGGCCCAACTGAGCGAATTTTCCACTGATGGAGCTACAGCCTGAAGAACTGCTCAGCGCAATTTGTTTTGGATTTCTGTGTGAGCTGATACAGCACTTGCCAGATGAGGTAAATGAACTTTGTCCTTATAAGGATATGCTCTTTCAGACTAGCTGATTTCTTTTTGACCATGCTTTTTCGTAAATAAATGCTTCTGAAAAATAGCGGACAATGACAATTTAATTTACAAACTGAGGTCTTCTCCAGTCTTATGGAATAATAGAATTGCAGAAATAAAAACTCATGATTCATTCAGTATAATCTCTACCCAGTCATTCATCTTGCTGGCAGGAGCTTTACCTCCTAGGTCTCGCACAGTGACTATGCACATAGTAAACGTTCAACTAATTTTTACTGAGCCACTGACTTGGTGAATAATGGCTGCTTATACATTTTAGTAAATAAAATTCATCTTTAATTTTTAACACATTCTAGAGTTATTTATGTTATTTCAGTACATTTTAACAAATATAAACTTTTTATTAAAAATTTTTCAAAATAAAAGTTTAAAGAAATAGACATATCATGATTCATGATATTGATTAGGTTGTTTAAAGTTATTTTTAAACATTGTAATTCATTATGTATTGTGCTGATTACACTAACAAAGAGTTTGAATACACTTTAAAAGTTTTTTCACTTAAAGCTTACTTCAACATAATGAACTTATGAGTGCTGAATATATAAGGAACACTCAAAACTCAAGAATAAAAAAACAATTCAGTAAAAATGAACAAAATATTTGAACAGACACTATAAAAGAAGATCTACAGATAGCAAATAAGCACACAAAAATATGCTTGTCATTAGTTATTAACCCACAGTGAGACTCATGCCAACATCATTGGTCATTAACCCACTCCTTCACACCTATTAGATTGGCTAAAATTTATTTATTTCCCTTTTTATTGAATTTATTGGAGTGACACTGGTTAACAAAATTTATACAAGTTTCAGATGCACAACTGCACAACACATCATCTGTACACTGTATTGTGTGTTCACCACCCCAAGTTAAGTCTCCTTCCATCACTATTTATCCCCCCATTCTCTCCTCCATTTGCTAAAATTTAAACAAGTAACGTAAGTATTGGTAGGGTTGTGAAAAAACTGGAACTCATATAATGCTGTGGGAATGGAAAGTAGTAAATCTATTTGTGAAGAATTTAGTAGTTTCTTAAAAAGTTAAATATTCACATTCCATATGATGCTGCTGTTCCACTCCTAGATATTTACCCAAATGTAATGAAAACATATGTCCACATAAAGACTTCTACATAAATGTTCATAGCAGTTCTACTTGTAATAGCCCAAGCCCGGAAACAAGTTAATGTCCACCAATGCATGAGTGGATAAACAATTTGTGGCACATCTATACAATGGAAGAGTAGCCAGCAATAAAAGGGAATTGGCTACTGATGCACTCAACAACACGTTAGAATCTCAAAAGAATTTTGCGCAGAGGAAGAAGCCACAGAAAAAATAGTTCATGTTGATGAATCCATATACAATATACATATATAGAGAAATGCAAACTTACCTACATTTATATAAAGAATATCAGTAGTTGCCTTGAGGGTTTTTTTCGTGGTAAAGGGACATGACAAAACTTTTGAGTTGATGGAATGTGTTATTTTGATTGTGATGGCTTCACTAAAGTATAAAGGCATCAAAATTTATCACATGGTACAAGTGTATTATGGGCTGTTAATTATATATCAATTACAGCTCAATAAAGTGGAAAAACTTAAGTAAAGGTCTTATGAATTGAGTACTATTTTAAAGTTCTCAACTTTTATTTCTTTATTAGGCTTCTGTTAAATAAAAATCTGGTTAGCTTACGGAAATACAGTAGTTCTTTCCCCCCAATTTAATTTTGGGCTAAATAATAGAAATGTATGGAGTTTTAGGACATTTCCAAATAGTAATAAACTACAGTTTAATCTGTGATAGGGAACGAGGGAAAGAATCAGACGAGCGGTGGGTGGGAAGATCAGGAAAGGAAACCAAGAAGGAAACACGAAAGGATATTTTGCCTGGGGACGCACAGGACTGCGCCTCCGCGCCCGCACCCGCGCTCGGCTCTGTAGATTCGCTGGGCAAGTGGCTCCACGTGGGTTAAAAGGCTACAACTTACGGCAGGTCCTCACTCTTGAAAACTGCCCGTCTCTAGTTAGTCCTGCCAGCGGGAAACTCCGCGTTGGGCGCCTCCATGAAGGCGGACACCCGCCCTCGACTTTCCTCGCGCAGCGTCCTGTCCTCGGTCGCCCCTGGTGGCGGGCGCCCGGCACCCGCAGGCGCGCGGGCGAGCTGGAGGGGAGGTGCGGGAGAGAGGTCGCTGAAACGGAGGTGGGCGGCTCCTCCCTGCGCTTTCGCCGATCCCGCATCCTGGCACCAGCCTGGCTGCCCCGGAATCCCGTTCCCCAAACCGGGCGCTCGCTGCCGCTCCTGCTGCTCTGCGTTCAGCTCCATGCAGGTGTTGCCGGGTGGGGTCTCGGCCGGGGAGCTGCGTTATGGGGTTGTCACCCCCGGGTTTCTGGGAGGAACTTACAAGCATTTGGAAACGAGGGGGCACAGAAGAGCCCAACTGTAGAAGAATTGTCACCATTAGGCCCCCCAGGTTCCGAAGAACTGAAGGGAGAGGGAAACCAGATGGCTCCCCTAAATC